ATGTACCCTGCCAGGGGTGGCTCAAAAACGTTTTCCCAATTCTATCCTGCCTAGCGAATCTATCGATATCACTTCCTGGAGGGGGAGAGGGGGGGATCATATTAAGGATAATACGTGCCGGGCGGGCAGGCTTTCCTCCTACCCTCCAGGCCCTTAGGCCCGTGGGTGGACAAGCACCTGGCTGGGGAGACGAGACAAGGACGCGCTGTATGACCTATTCTCATAGTTGGTCATATTCCGAGCGCCCGCTTGTTAGTATCTACCCGCCTCCTCAGGGGCATCGTCGATCTACAGGATGGCGGGGGGGGGGTTAGAGGGTTAGAGGTTGTTTGAAGGAGAACACAAGCCATTGGAATAAAACATGGTGCGTACGATGTGCAGATTATCCTTACTCCCGGCTTGAGGGTTCCGTCTTCATGGAGCTTGGCGGTATAGTAATTTTTTTCCGCGTTTAGGGGGGGGCCGGGGGGTACCCCCCCCCCCCCGCCCTAGGCCGAACGCCCAAGCGAACGCGAGATGGGGAGAGTGGTATCGTCGATGCAAACATACATACGTGACACCCTTGGACACGATGAAAAAGCGTAATCGGGATAATAATAAAAGATTTTCGACAGGGGGGGGCGACAAGGACGGGAGGAGGGAGAGAGACAGAGAGAGAGAGAGGTAGACAGAGAGAAAGAGGGAGGGAACATACAAATATATGTAGAGTGATTGTAGTGAGGGTGTCTGCGTAATCCGTCAAGAATGTTTGGGACGTCGCAGTAGTACATACTTCAGTATTTACATACAAGCTTGCTTGTATTTTGGCATGATTTCGTTCCGTTTGGGCACTATCCGCGGGGTGGTCTACGCGTGAGGAACGACGAACAGACAGACAGGACGATCTTGTTTCTTGAAGGTCATCATCTTCCAAACGTTCACAGAGTGAAAAGTCCAAAACGTGCAGAGAGCAGCGGACTTGACGCAGGCCGTCGAGTAGAAGGCAAGCCGATGGATGGATGGTTGTGACGTTTCCCCAATAATCTCTAACCCACGGCAGCAACGTGTTTTTGCTCGAAGAGCCCCGCGAAACTCAACGAAACAATTCTATCCGCTGAATAATAAGTATACCGCACAGTCTTCCTCTCTCTCTGCTGCGGCGTACCATCTCGCCTCCGCGTGAGCCCACCAAACCAACTGAAGCGGAAGCCTTCCGCGCGTACAGGCCAAGTACAGAACGCGCCCGCGCTTCAGAACCCAGGAGGTAAGAAATTGAGCCCCTTTGACAACCCTTGGCGCAAAACCTATAGCGACCAATCGTAGCATGACCCTAGGAATACAGTAAGAGCCCCAGCCTCGGCTGAAACTAGAGGTGGTCGCGTTCTATATTTTATTTACCTTGTGGGTATCCATACATTCACATAGTCTCCCCATCACTGCCACCCTTCCCAAGGGACGAGGTTTGCGGATAATAATATATGGTGCTATGTACTACCTATATCATACAGCAGGTGACGCAAGATACCGCACCCCTGGGGCCGATTTGCAAAGCTCGATCACAACTCCACAGCAGTAGAAACAGTGGCAGTGCCGAAAAGAGGAGCGTTGGAATATTCTCGTCGAGACCTTTCTGACAACGCATCATTTGATGTTGGGATCCTCGTGGTCGTGGAGTAGTCAATCTTTTAAAACCGGTCCAGGCGGGGTGGTATCTTGTGTCACCGGTCGTCGGGGGGAGGGGGGTGGCAGTATTGGGTAGTATAGGCTACACTACAGTACTACTGCTGTAGGAGAGATGCATTATTTAGTAGTTGGCCTTGTTACAGCTGTCCGCACGAAAGACATCCACCTCAGTTGGTCAGGTGGACCCACGCGGGGGCGAGATGATACGCAGCAAAGATACTCACACTTCTAAAATACTAGTTGTGTGTGGTACTTGTTGTAACAGAATAATAATAGTTGGCCCGGATCGATAAGAAACGTCACAATTGGGTCGAGGCTCAGTTTCTCACTTCATCACCACCACTGCTGTGGAGCAACAGGTGTTAGAGTATATATACATTGTGTAAATACAGCAGTGAGGTGGTAGTCTATACGTAGGATCACACGTCTGATGAGAGCAATGGTCACGATTTTTGTTGTTCCGCTCGCCGGTCAACGAATCTATGCATATGTATGTGGTGTCACAAGAATCACAGGCGAGAGAGAGACAGAGCGATAGAGACGATCAGACTGAGACCGACAAAACGCAGACACAGACAGACGTCGAGCGGGAGTACAAGAAGCAGGGTGCAAAACCAGACCGTTTGGGAGAGGCCGTGTGCATCAGCCTTTTGTGTGTGCTAGGTGGGGTTGATGGGCCTTTTCGCTTGTTCTTCAGGTCTTCTTGCCTGCACGCAGGAAACTTCAGGCAAATTGGACGGGTGTGTGTGCCATGCATTGCCAACCATCGTATCAGAAAACCAGAGCCAAATTTAATTCGGCTACACAAACTGCAAGATAATAATTATGATTTCGGGGAAAGTGCAGACAATATATATCGAAGAAGAGGCACGATCTCCGAAAAGAAGATGCTCGTATTCTTTGGATTTTTTTCCCGATTCACCGTGGACTCTGGTGCATGTAGAAGATTCGCCGATCCGTTTCAGTCATTCATCTTGTTGGTCAGTCAGTCGACACGTCGACACCCCACGGCATCACACTCTTCTCCTAACCCTGCACAGCTAGCTACAGCTACCTTTTGAGACCAATCCCTCCCGACCACCTACACCAATCCACCCCCAGCCGTAGCCATGGAGGGCGGCCTCTACACTGAGCGCATCCTTGCCCCCGAGACCACCGACCATTTTCTGTGGATCGTCATCGTTGGCGCATTTGGCGCATTTTTCGCGGCCTTCGGCATCGGGGCCAACGATGTCGCCAACGCGTTCGCCACCTCCGTGGGCGCCAAGGCCCTGACCATCAAGCAGGCCGTCGTCCTGGCTGGCATCTTCGAGTTCCTCGGCGCTGTGTTCCTGGGCTCGCACGTGACTAAGACCATCCGCTCCGGCATCGCGGACGTGAGTGCCGGTTGAATTTTTTTCATATTTTTGTCAATCTGTATATATATCCAGGCAAAGCGTGGGATGGCTGCCGACACTCAGCCATCAACTGAAAGCGTCGGGGCATTTACTGCTGCTGCTGTAGTAATGGCAACCATGGCACACGTACGTACCTGTTCATCAAGCCGTCAGCCGTGTGATGTACTGCTGTGGATCGTTGTTGAAATTTGACTGTCTGTCGTGTAGTGCACAGCAGTGAATCTTATCTTGCTTTTTGAATTTTACAACATGCACGCGCCCAGTAGACTGGAGGACTCAATCAAGCTGTGCCCATGGCGTCCCGTGCATAGCTGGCACGCGCACCGTCTGTTTGTCTTCGCGAGCGAGATTGGTTCCCCGAGATTGTCCATTGTCGGAAGACGACCCAACCCAGGCTAGCTAGTCAACCAGGGGCGAGCACGACGATAGAGCTACAGCTAGCAGCTCTGCAACCCATAGACTAGTATGTAAGAGACAAATGATGAACCCACGCATATCAAATCGGAACTTCCGGAGGACTCGGCAGAATATATGAGCAACGGCCCGACCCCCGAAGGTTAGTAGGTTGAAAGATTATTGCGGCCATCCGCCGTTACGGTGTGTTCGTTGGACATAGCGAAGATGCGCGGACGGACGTAAGCGGACACGATGCTTCTGCTGTAGTAGTACATTCCGGTGGCGGCGTGCCCGGCGATGCGCGCAGAGGGGTCAACGAAACAGCTTTCTATCGATTTGTATCTTTTCTCCTCCATCTGTGGTCACAAAATAGTTGTCAATGAAAAAAAAATAGTTGTCACAATCTGTATGATGAATAGACTGCTGTAACACTTCCTAGCGGCGAGTTTTTGTGTTGGTTCGAATCTCTCTCCGGAGGGTTTCGCTCTCAGGATTATTTTCCAGCGACCGTTAGTTGGAAGCAATCTACTGTAGGTCGTGAAAACACACCTACTTATTTCGGCCTCACGGTCGACGAGAGAACACACGGAGGGATGGATGGATGGGTGAACGGTGAACCCTCTACTGTCCTCGAGATGAAGAAGTTCGACGTGACGTCACGTCTTGCATATTTTTTGTTCGAAAGGAATGTTCAGATTCATTTGTTCAAGTCCCGGCATTCATAATGTACCACCATCACATAAAAAAAAAGATAAGGATTCTAGCGAAAGGCAGATTTGTTTAAGCTAGTCTACCCGTTTTGAGGCGTCCAGTGTTTTGTTGTCCCCAAATATATTATTTTCGAGGCAATCTTCGACCATAACTCACTCAATTCGCCCGATGCATCGATCGGCATTCATTCCCGTCTAGTATGCTTTGCTGTTCAACCCAACTTCGAGCAAGACGTTCTAGACAAAGTGTTGTGGTATTTGGACCCTTCCTTTGACGAAGATACCATCTGGCTGGGCGGGTATATATTTAAATTTCAGGAATATCCCGACCACCTGCTGCCCGGATTTCTAGTATTCCGACGTTAGGCAGGTAGCGGCACAATGGTTACTAGCAGCAGCAGGCGATGTGCTAGCGTTCCACCTTGTTCGCAGTGTTGCCTGGTGTTCCCTGGTGTTGCCTGGGAGTGAGCGATAACGAGCGACTGAGAGAGAAAGGAAGGATAAGGAAGGAAACAGGCTGAAGAATATCGAAGCGGCTCCAACCTGCACACAGTGGTCGGACTAGCCCCGCACTGTGAACCCGCGTCAGAGATCGTCACACCTCGTCACACTTGGCGTCGTCGGCAGGACAAAAGAGAGAGAGGAAGGAGATTTATTTCCAGACTCCTTTGCTTTACAGCAGTCCCGTGGGGCAATCGCATCGATCGATCGACAACAAACACCAATGAATTCCAAAAAATTCATGTTATTAATCTTGCATGGAGGCAAATGATCAGACCCAAAACAAACAAACGGCTATAGGTTTCACTTTTATTTTGTTGCAGTATGATTTCACTCAGTACATTATGTGGTAGCGCGAATGGACGAAATGGCCCTGCGAATTCGAATGCAGCAGCCAAATTTACACGTCATAAAACCCTCAGTGATTCATATACTTACTCCATTTTTTGGTCCTGAAAATTGTTGTTGTTGTTGTTGTCTTTACTACATAAAAACAAAAGCACTCACTCCCGTATGATGTGCCTCCTCCGAATGTCACGGAGTCGCACGAGAAGATCTTGTCATTCTTGAAAATGTACGTGGTGGGTGTCTACCCTGCCTCAGGTGACGCAAGACCACATGCATGCGCATTGCCCGAAGAGGGACTGTGTGTCTTACAACGCTTGCTTCTATTTCCGCACAAAACATCGCGCACGTTGATATTCTACATTGAATTGATTGGAGCCAGCGCGAGCGGACAATACTTTGGCAGCGAAAACTCAGACTCCCATGATGTCTTTGACTGATGATGGCAGATTTCTGATGAGGACCGAAGTTATTTGAAGCCGAAACAACACCACAAATGGGACATGTTCAACACTGCGGCTGGATGCATACTCTCAGACTTGTCTACAATTAATTGGCCCACTGCGAAGTGTGGTAAACGTAGGTACTGCTGTTGGACGAAATGCATTGACACGAAGAGTCACAACCATGAATCATCGAATGAACGTATGAATGAAAGTGGAGAAGCAAGAGGCAAATATTGCAAACCGTCGTATTTGATGGATGGGTCTGATAGGTTTCAGAATTGGTTCGCCAGGCTTTGTCAGCGCGGAACGCGTCCCCTGGGTTTTGAGCCAGTTTTCGCAACTTTGGCCGCCAACCACACGCACGCGCCACGGAGGCCTACCGAGCTCCGGGCACGGGCGTTAATGTACCGACGAGCCTCCTGCGTGTCCCTGAGAAGGAACCGCGAGAAAAGACTCGCTGGGGCGAGAGAAAGAAACGCCGAAGCATGAAAAGTGACCAAATCTTATATGTACATAGAAGTATATCACGTGGCCTCGACCGCCATCAGAACCACAACAAGGGGAAAAGCAGGTCACCTGCGAAACTAATCAGCTTCTTCCTGCACCACCCGCTCGCAAAACGGTAACCAATGCGCGTGTGAGGGCAACTAACTGTGTCTTCTTATATATAGCTTTCGATTATTTCGGGGTTGAACGGCGTGTGTGTACGTGCTCTCGGACCTCCAGCACTAGACTATTTAGTAAATAGTACAGTAGTAGCGCCCGTGATTAAGAAACAACTTTGAGGAATAACGGCAGGCAGGCTCGGATGTTGGCGAAAAATAAGGAAAATTGACAAAGAAACACACCTACCTCAGCCGTGTATCCTACACTAAACTCTACATAATTAGACTACCTATCTATGCTCGACGGTGATTGTGACGAAAAGAGGGAGCCTCGACTCCAAATTAACGTTTCTTGAACGCGGGCGCTAACTGTAGTGAATACCTCGTTCGTGCCGCTCTACTCGGTTGTGGCTTCAAAGAATCAGTCGCAGATTTGCCTTGCAGGTAGCTATTACTTGATTGGGTGTGTGTGTGGTTGTCGGTGTTTCTTATAGCCCGTGTTTTAGGCTAAACCATATAGTTCGCTGCTGGTGAGACTGCTGTTCATGAGCAAGGGGAATCAATCAGAACGGAATTGATCCGTCTCTAGGTTCTGTTCCCCTAGATTTGTGTTTTCTTCTTTTCGTCTTTCTTTCTCCAACCAAACTGTCAACGCATATATATTACATGTACTGTACACTCACACACGCACACTTTTTTCATTCATTCGCAGTCAGCGCGTCGCCCATTTTCGAACTTTGCCCCCCCTCCAGGGGCCTTGACTTAGCGCGTTGGCACTGATGACGTAGATATATTCATTGGCGAGCCGTTAACTGCGGGTGATGCTAACATGAAGTCAAATGCAGCACACATCGCACATTAACCTCCCTCCTCGCTGCGCTCCCGTGCCCCTTGTTGGCCTTGTCTCGTTCGACGCAACCGCACTGGAACTGGAACACAAATATAACAAACAGACAGAGTGCTTCGAGGACAACCCGGGGATCCTCATGTACGGCAACATGTGCGTCGTGTACACGACCGGGTTCTGGCTCCTGCTGGCCTCCTTCTTCGAGCTGCCCGTGTCCACCACCCACTCCACCATCGGAGGCATCGTCGGGATGGCCATAACCTACCGCGGCCCCGACTGCGTGGTCTGGTACGAGAAGGCCGACCTCTTCCCCTACCTCAAGGTGATAACTCAATTTGTTGCATGCAACTTCTGATCGGGGACGATCACCACTTTGGTCACCTGGGTTTCTGGTTAACCTTTGCACCGCCGCCTCCATGCAACAACGTGTGTATCCTATTGGATTGGAACCCTTTCGTGTCGTTCACAGATGATTCCTCTATGTACCGATCAGCGTTTGCGTTGTTGTCTGTGTGCTCGTCGGCGTTCTGAAGTGAAATTCCACCGCATCCCCCTACGGTCAGGATTGAATAGAGACATACGTAACAGGTAGACCAGATGACCTGACAGCATTGACACACCGCATGACCCACTCCCTCCCGTCATTGTAACAGTAATATTGCAGATTTGATTGGTCAAGCCATATTGGGTGATTGGTCATGGGGCATTGGTTGAGGGTGGACGTATGGAGCCCTAGTGTCAACACCATTAGACGCCGGTGTCAAACCGTGACATCGAGTAGTCAGCCGCTGATACCTCCCCCGGGTGTACGCCCGAAAGGGAGCCTGCCAAAATTTGAGGGTAAAACACTTGTTGACGTCGAAAGCACGGATCGTGTTAGAATACGCGTTCAACCGCGTTCTCTCTGTCCCTCCCTCCCTTTCCCTCCCTCTCTCTCTGCGTCTCTCCCTATCTCCCTTTCACCCCCTCCCTCGCGACCGTGCCCCCCCCCCCCCCCCTAACAGGGAAATCCCGCCCTCCCGGCCCCCGGGGTTTCAACCCCGGGCCCCTCCGCTTGGACTCCCGTGACCCTTTTTTTTT